ATATGGTTATAAATTACAGCCCAGCATCATAGACAATGTCACAATAAATAATTACTCATCTTCTTATTGTAAGCAATGGCCTACAATAAGAATTATCTTGTGAGTTAGTACAATATATGAATGCATTTACTTATATATACATTACATATGGCTTTATAAATATTCCACTAAACTAGGTAAATGGTATTTACTTTCAAAAATGTTATGCGCTTAAAGTTTATATAATATAACATGAATCATGATTTGATAGAAAGCAAATATTCTTGTTATGTATTAACTTAATGAAAGGTTACTAGAGAAACTAGTTTTAATAAGTAAAACCAATCGAATAAGTAAACAGTGCATTATAAATTATAAATAAATGCCCACATTAACTATATACGAACGTCCGATGCATAATGGAAGTCACGTTATTTCAATTTAAATATTTACCCTGAAAGGAGTTAGATAGATGACCCACACGACTCAATTGCTAAAGGAAAAATATAATATATAGGGGCAAGGCATTACTAATTTGGAGGTGTAAAGCATATATTTTAAATTAAATAAATTTAAAAATGTGTTTAAAAATAGCAGCCCGGCATTGTAACAATGTCACAACAAATATTCGCTCGTTTATTTTCAATTATGATTATTCAATAAATCAAATAACAAAGACCACCATATTTGTTTTAGAAACGCATATTTAAACGCATATAATTTAAACATTTATCTGTTCCTTAATGCATGCTAAGAATGGTTAACTTATAACAGGCGTAACAGACATTACATAACATCATCGATTATTTATCAATTAAAACTTTTGGTATTGTACATGTATGTAAAAAATATATTTAGTTAAATGAATAAAACTAATTATATCAATGTGAACGTTTAGAATTTAATACCGAATAATTGAATTCAACATACTAATGAAGAATTTAAATGGATATCGATTTTTATGATGCATACGTCTAATGTTGTTGACTAATTAAATTCTGATTTTTAAAATATTCTAATGGATAGATGAGCTGATTGTTATATATTCGTGTTACATGAACATTATCTCAGACCACCACGGTTTATATAAGCCAATGAGATTCACTGCTAAAATCAATGTTTCTTCTATGGAGAGTGGAGATGAATATCTTATATTACGGAAAACAAAAGCAAGTGAATAAATGTCATTTTTAAGTAGTCATACCATTACATTTTAAAGTAGGCTTCGTAGTATCGAAATTAATATACGAAAAATGAGTGAACTTTGTATTAATTGTTACCTAGAACCTTATTGGAGAATGGCCATAATTTACGGTTTGCAACTTTGCAAGAGATGCGACTGCCGAAGCAGCAATTTTTGTCTCGTGGAAAATATCTGGTTTAAAATTATTTATACTGGATTTGTAGAATTATATATATGGGCCCATTCTTTTCTAGTATTGTTGCAGGCAATACCAGGTTTAAGCGATAAAGTAATCTGTGTTGGATGGTATGACGTATTCGAAGATAACACTTCAATAGTGAAATTCTGTTATCCAGTTATTTTCTTTGCTTATTCTTTTGCGTTTAGTTTCCTGAAAAATACAAAAATTAATCTGGTAATGAAATTAAAACACGAATTCTTTCGAGAAAAGATGATCGACGAAGAGAATGTTGCCATAAAAAATATTGTTAATTTTATTTCTTTAGTTGTGATATTCTCTATAATTTGGTTTCAAATAGCAAACGTGTTCTTGGTTTATCCAGCGTTAGAAAATGCACAGAAATATCAAGGAGAAGGTCTTTTCTGTTGCATTGAATTTGGATTAGCCATGATTTTTATTGTTGGAGGGATCGTATTTTTGCTGATAATGGGTGCAATTTTAGTGTTTATTGCTCTGAAAGAATTTGAAAATCTTTCGAATGAACTCTTCTCAATAAGTAAACATGATAACAATCTAAAAGCAAGATTGGACCAATTCATAGTGAATTACGAAGAACTGTGGATCATTGTAGAACAGTTTAGTAATCAACAAAAGTTTTGTTTGATGATCGTTTATTTTTCTACGCTGTTTGCAACATGCTTCTTTTGTTACGCATTCCTGTTTGTAAAACTAAATGCGACACTTAGATACGGAATTTTAGGTTTTCTTACTCTCTGCACGTTCATTTGCATCATACTTGGCTGCGTATTATGCTCATTTGCGTTCATGGTAATGTCAATTATAATAAACGAATTTTATATTTCAGTGTATGATATTATTATTGTTTATTCTACTTTACAGATGGAGAATACCTTTCAAGATATTCGAGTCTATGCTCGACGTAATATAGGGCTGAAACAGAAACTAAAAGTAGGTTTTGTACTTAGTAGCTATCTATAGGAGAGGTGGGAGATCCAGTTCAGCTGCTGGAACTGGAACAATTTCTTTGGAACCGTTTCAGGCGAAACTACCCACCTTTAATTTACAGCATTTTCTTAATTTTTACTAGAAAATATTTATTTTTGTCTTTTCAGATTGTCAACTTCATGAAAAGATTTGGTAAAAATTCTTTGAGACTATCGATAGGCGGTATCTATCCAGTTACCAAAAAAATACCTTTAAAGGTAATTATTTCTATTAAGGAAAAGTTAAACTAGTTAAGAAGTTTCTTATTCTTTTATAGGTAAAGCCCCGGCCTGAGTAAGGAATAAGGAATACAAGTTATCTTGATGATGGTGATGTTGTCAGAGTTTAACAGGCTACATCCAGATCTTCTACCAATCACACAGCTGTCTGTACACCCTCTGTACCCATCATCAAAATAAGTTGAATTCTTTATTTCTTATTGAGTGCCATCCCTAATCGTATAATAATAAGCAAAGAACAACATAACTCCTACGGTTCCAAACTTATGGGACACTCGTATGTACCCAGTGTATATGTTATGGCTCAAACCCGTGAATCGGATAAAGCTAACGTTATTCTTGTGCTTTCCTTAAAGCAAGTAACGATTGACTAATTCTAAACATTATCCATACATATAATGCTTTGTCTAAGTCACAAACTGATAAGGCTGACATTACCCAAAAATTAATGAGTGAGACAAGAATAAAACTTTAAAATCCTGGAATGAGTTGCTTAACTTTTCCGGCAATATTTAATATTTTTGTGGGGTCATATGTTATGATATTTTATTATAAATTTTTTTTACATGTTTATCTATTAAAACGTGGCAAAATTCTTAATTTTGAGGGTAGGGATGGATTTTATTTAAAAATTGTAAATGCTTATCTTGAGTAGAGTCGGACTTAGAGACGATTTTACTCGTTATTAAACGAATAAAATCGTCTCTAAGTCCGACTCTACTCAAGATATGACACGACCCTCTTTATCTCCCAACCCCGTCGATCTTTAACCACTGAAATTTAGTAGCATCAATTCCCCTACTAAACTTCCCTGCAAAATTTCAGAAATTTTCGACAGAATCACAGGAGTTATTAAGCTTCAAACAGGGTGAACAAAGTTGTGCCACACAGACACACTAATATCCATATATACAGAAAAAAACTTCCAAATGTTTTCATTTTTCGATGTTTTAAGGTGTCCTAATTTCTAAAATGTAAATATCTTGAGGGTCATTTTTTGACCGATCGCCACACTTTCCCTCTGTTAGGCTATATATAACAGAGCCGGGAAAATAAAATCGAACTTTATCCATCCTATTTTAAATAAAGCGAGTAAAAAATTTAGGGTTTTACTGTGCTCGGATAATTTGCAATTTTTTTCAAAATAGTCAAATTGGTCAAAAAGAAATTGCTTTGTAAATAAGCTAGAAGTTATTACTTCTTTATTGTATATTTATAATTATATAAAACTTAATGAATAAAAATAAGTTATTATACGAAAATATCGTTATCCTAGTTTTAGAGCTAAAAATTTAGATTTATCCCTAAAGTAGAAAAAACCGCACTTTGATTTACAAACGTACTTTACATAGATGTTAAACGACGTAGACCAGGAGTTGAACGTATTAATAAATACAATTGAAAAGAGATAATAGTCTCTGGTCAAGATTTCAACATTTTTGCAATTTATTATTTTTTTACTGCACTGTCCAAAAGTAAAGGTATTTTCATAATATTTTCTATGCGATCCTGTGTAGTCCTTAAGGTTATAAGTGATTTGTTTAAAAAGTTTATCTTAGCCGTGAAAAAACATCAAGAAAATGGTCACTGAATAAATGGTTGTCATATCACCGATTGGCTTGAACTTTGGTGGTACTGTAATTTCGCAACATTGCCCTGTTCCTATTATCCACGTAATGGGTAGAAAGAAAAATGCTTATATTTATATAAAAGGAAACATTTATATTCAGCTCCATGCAAAAAACGATAGTCAGATTCCAAATTATCTGAATAAAGGCTGGATTTTGTGTCTTCTTGTTTCATTTGTTTTGATAATGTCAACTTCATCCGTTTATGACAGAGAAAGCTCGTTTTATACGGTTAAATTCAAAATTGATAGGTTTTACTTTCTTAATCTATACATAGGCTATATTTTTTTCTTTTATTTTTCAGATGGTCAGTACTCTGCATTCTGTCTTTTCTTGTTTCTTAAAACTAAAAAGTATTCCAGAAAGTAAAACTAAATGCCAAGAGAAGTATAATGGCAATTTTACACAAGTTTCATAAAACTAATAATGGTTAGTAGTTAAATTTTCATTTGATGATTTAAAAATTTGTTAGTATGTTATTGACGAGCATATTTCATAAAACTTTACTGCAGTTTTATTATACAGAGTGTCCCATAAGTTTCCATACTTATGGTAGATAAGCAGTTTTTAGGTGCGTGAATTGGTATTTTCTTTCCAATTTTATGAATTTAAATTGTTACTTCATGAAATTAGTATTTTTTGTTCAATATACTGTATATCTTCAAAATGAAATAAATAAAATTTATAGAAGTTTAACTATTTTTCTTATTAGTTTAATCATTTGATTTAAATTAAACTATTTTATTATCACCGAAAGTAATAACACTTCCTACAGTTGTTGCAACACTAAAATAATTTTAGAACTATAATTAATATATTACTTATCACACAAATGAATTAGTTAAAGCATAATTTATTTAATATAATTATGACGTAACTAACATATTTTCCATAGAATAGTATGGTTTACAATTGTTAACATGCGTAAATTATTTACAACAAATTCCACAATTATGTATGCCTATACATTTCACAAATTATACTTTGTGAACTACATTTCATAAATTTCTTCTGATTTCAAAGCTGGATATTAAATACACTAAATACAAGCAATTACACGAGTGACATCTTTGTTCATAAAATCTACAGAATACTAAACGTAAGATATTTTAAATTTTAATTCAGGTATATTGCTATCAAGGATTTCTGTAGTGCTTAAATTTCAGAAGATATATTTAATATTCTAATATACTACGTATTCGTACAGTACATCCAAGACAATCGATAATACATCAATTAAAATCGGGTACAGGATATTATTTTCAAAATGATAACAGTTTTTCTTCTTCAAGCATAAACTATAGTTACTCGTTTTGAGGTTTATATTCTTCAGATTTTATTCTGTAAGAAGCGATGGAGTTAATGGTAGAAATGCTGGATTTTTTGGCACTGGATCGCTGGTCTTCTGTATGAAGTGTAGAACACGTAACGATCATTTTGCAAATTCGAAGCAAACGTGCTTTCGTTTTATGAAATCTAGTGAAAGCCAGAAAGATAAAAACACCCTGAAAGCTTATTATTATAACGCTAATGAACTTGATAAAAATTGAGGATACAAAATAAGTAATCAATCCAAAAATCCAACCTAGACCCATTATAACTGCAAGTTTTAAGTACAAAGAAAACTTTTTCCTCTTCCCGTTTTCTTCGTTACCGGTTCCGAAAGAGCTGGAAATTATAAAAGCGCTGAAAAGGAACAACATGGCATTTATAAATACAAGAATTCCAAAAGGAATGGCGAAGAAGAAAATGGCTGACAACGTTTCACGAAACCAGCAATTTCGTGACTTGAATCCTGGTTTTAAATATTCAGGATACGCATCGGTTTCGTCTCCTACGACTACTACTATCAAGAATACAAATGGTAAACCCCAGGAGTATAAAGAATAGAAGAAAAATCTCTTGACGTTATTGTGTTTTGATAATCTAAGCTTTGTAGTAGCCTGTCGGAATGAACGGAAGACATTGAATGATATCGAATTTATCCAGAAGAAAGAAGACATCATGAAATAATAATTAGCTAAACCGAGAGGATAACACGTCCAAGTATATGAATATCCTATTCTACCTATCAGGAAGACTAAATTAGACATAAACAGAGATAGAGAGAGAGATGCTAGATTTTTACCCGGTAAATTCTTCATTTCTGGTACAAGAAGAAATGATACAAAATGAAGGAATAAACAAACGAGTGACATCGACAGACCTATAACAGTGGTATAAACCAGAATTTCTTCTAGATAGTAGACTTTTTTGTGTTCTTCTATAAATACTTGTAGAAAACATACATATACTCCATCTCCGCTTATGTAGTAATCTCCGGGCGGATACAGTCCTCGATGAGAATAAGTTGAATAATTCGGAACGTATAGGGTTTCATTATCTAAAATTTGGAAGTATTTTGATTCAATGAATATATGCGGGCAAGACAGAAACTGTTGACTGAAATTTCCAAATTCCTCCGTATGATTTTTCATATTATTGTACGTAAGGTTAACTATATTCTCTGTTGAATTTCCTGTCAATTCTTCGTGCGTTAAGGCAATAGTCATTACTTTTGTTAATATGGCAAACAATAGAAGAGATATCATTTGAATGCCCCTCATCTTTAAACCTTTTAAAACTTCTTTGTAGTGGTTATATCTATACTAAATAAAAAAAATAAATAAATTCATTATACCAATTTTTTTCTTTATTTAAATTTTTTATCAGTAATTAAAAACCATAAATCTCATTGAAACCATTACATATTGTATAGAAAGTGCTACATAATTTAACACATCGTTAGAAATTATGTAAATATATAACGTAACATTAGTAATTCTCCAAATAAATCTTTCAGTTTGTGGCATTATGAAACTAGTTAGGCACTTTAAAATGAAATTCCGTTGATTTCACTTATTCGTTTAAATAGAAATGCGTCATACTTCCGTTTGCGTTAGATGTTATGTGATTGGTGTGATATTTTAAAGCGATCAATACGTATCTTATTATTTTAGTATCTTTGAAACAATCTTATCATTATACTAATTGTTATATATTTATGTGGCTATCTGAAGATCTTTTACGAAATATTTTTTTTAATTATTCAATTAATATGAATTTTAAAAATCACTCCATAACTTAGACTTTTGCATGTAAAACAAAAATATAGAATGATTAAGAAAATAAACTAAAAAATTTATTGTATAAAGTTGTCAAGGTGAGTAGAGTTTACGTCACAGTTGAACTCTGAAGGGTCAGCTATGACGTAAACTCGTATGCATCTCTTGATGCGTGCTTAGGAAATTCGACCTTGGGCATTAGTATTTCCCATTGAAAAAGTCCAATTTAAATTTATTTCTTAAAAAATATTCTATACCAAATTCGAGTTAAATTTTAGCAAAATACTTCATTTTAATTTGTTTTTAAGACGAATATTTATTTGATTCACAATAACAATATTATTTTTTTAATATTAAATTTCTTATTTAAATATTATTTTCTTAATTATTACAATTTCTATTTAACATATTGGAGTATATTAAGTAAAGATTAGGCAATTATATGGGGATTTTTCATTTTATCTCCTACAATTTTAGCATATACACAAGTGTAACGCGCACACCAAACGATTTTACTACTTATTTTATTTATTAATTTAAATAATTTTTTATATGCTTTTATCTTATAATTCAGATATGTGATTATATTTTATGTTTTAAGTTTTATAAAAGTTAATTTTGAATGCAAGGCGAATGTCAAGTATATCTTACATCCGGCTATGAGTGAAATATGTTATATCTCAAATATTTTCATTATTTTACATGTATTATTATTATATATATATATATTTATTTATTTATTTATAGCTACAATTTAATTANTTTTTTTAGTAGATATAAAGCAGAACCACCCATTGGCCAGATGGATAAGAAGTAAGACGTCTGTGTCACCGATTCCTTTACGTTTTAATTGGATGTTTGTGTTTTTAAAGGACTAATAATTGTGATTAATTGTTATCAATGATTAATTAATAACAGATAACTATGGATTTTTGAAAGTAATAAACTGCACCTTTATGATGAATAATTGATAAACAACAGAATTTCGGAATCTCTAAAGCAAAGTTCCGGCTATCCTATTCAATTTCTTAAGCTCCTTTTATACAACTTTATACTTTTTAAAACTTTATCCGTGTTTTATGTACTAAGAGGGCCTTTTTATAGGCCCATAAATAGTTCGACTACGCCCACAATTGGAGTTATTATATACGGGACAGCAGCTGAAAAATCATGAATCATCATAAAAAATCCGTGAGGATGTGCTCGTCCGGAATCGATTCTGGGGCCTCGAGAGCGGTAGTTTAATGCCTTAACCCTTTCATCCATTCATATTTCCTTATAAAAATATGAATTGATGCATTTATTGATGAATAAAATCATATTTTAACAATAAATTTTACTTCGTAATTACTGTTAAAACTTGCAAAAATTATAGAAAATAATAGTAATCATACGTTAATACCTTGGAAATAACATGATATATGAAATAACAAAGCGCTTGTTTTAATTTTGAAAATAACACGAATTATAGAAGATTCGGAATTAGAAAGAAGAAACTCACCTTTGCTTATTGAAACATAAATCTTCAGTTACGTTGAGTTAAGTTGCGTCAAGTTTATAATGTCAGCAACGATGTAGAGAATGAAAGTTTCTCGTTGTGTTTCTTGTATATAAGTCAAAATGAGACTTGGTTGACGCGTCACGACAAAGACAAACCGGAAAATCCCGTGGATTTTATTCGATAACGTGAATTAACTTCCGAATATGTCATAATAAGATTTCATACGTCAAAGAATAAATAATTACATAATTTATTACGCTAAACTTTTAATAGCATTATAATTTATGAAATGAATTTTGTAGAATTAATAGTTAACTAGAATGAAAGTTTAGATATTGTAGTCGACATTAATACGTAAAAGTTTCGCTTATATTTGATATAGAGTTATTAGGGCCTAATATAAAATATGTAACAGCTCTATTTCTTCCACTAAATAAGTAAATTTATACAATTCGGGCCCTATACTCTAGGGCCTATAAAATAGAGAGCTCTTAATTCGTTAGCTTATTTGTAACTATACATCCGGCTGATTTTTATCACAAATAAATAAATTCTAACAAGTCATTTATAGCAGGAAATTTAAAGCTGTTATTGTTACAATACGGTTTTGTTACAAACCGGTTTTATTATTTTTTTTAACATAACATGACCAAATAAAAGTCGGTGATAATCTAACAATTGATTAAACTTGTATTTTATGAACTTGTTTGGAATATTCGTATTATTTATTGATTGTGGAGATTTCCTAATTATAAATTAAGTTAAAATATTTTTTATGTGAGGTATTTATTTGAAATCTTTCAACTGAAATCAACAGTTGAATTATTAACCGAAGAAAGAGTAATAAACAAGAATTCAATTGACTTAAATGTTATAATTAAACCGTGATTCTTGTTTTCAGTTTTGCTTTAAACTTTAAGGGCAAGACTCCACTAGCGTAAAAACGGGCGTAAAAACCCTCGCCGTAAAAGCTTTTAATCACGTGACCATGATATTTTACGTCCGAGCAGATCATAAAACCAGCGTAAAAGCGAGTTGAGCAGTGTTCAACTTTCGATGCGAATACGACCGTAAAACGGTACCATCCACGAATCAGAAGCCAGTGAAATTTAGGTCATTGTGACACGGTGCGAAAATGGCGGAAAACAAGTTTTTGTGTACGTTCTCTCGTGGTTACTCTAGATCAGATCTGGAAAGATTTATCGAAAACGTCCAAAAGTATGCGTGTATCTACAACAAGAGGTATCCCGATTATAATAATGGATGCCTAAAACACGCGATATGGACGGCCAAAGGAAAATCTTTCAATTTAGAGACGTATATAAAAAAAGCTAAGCTTATAAGTGTATATTATCTTAATAATACGATAATAAAAGTTAATATATGAAAGTAAAGATATTATTTTTACTATATTTGTAATTATATTACAGAAAAAACTCGTAGAATATAATCATTGTCTTTATAACTTCGATAGTACCATCGCCGTAAANTTATAATAATGGATACCAAAAGAAATCCTTCAATTTAGAGGAGTATATAATAAAAAAGCTAAGCTTATAAGTGCTGTATATTATCTTAATAATACAATAATAAAAGTTAATATATAAAAGTAAAGATATTATTTTTACTATATTTGTAATTATATTACAGAAAAAACTCGTAGAATATAATCATTGTCTTTATAACTTCGATAGTACCGTCGCCGTAAAAACTTGGGTAGACGGACTTCGGCCATGCCTTTAAGGAAATTTAAAGCTAATAATTAACATTTTATGTCTTTAAGTTTCATGTAATGACTTTAAAAGCATTAAATGCCCTTTAAAACACTAAATGCAACTCTAAGGCATTAAATGCTACTTATTAGCATTTAATGCCCTCACATAAAAAATATTTTATCTCAATTAATAATTAGGAAATCGCCACAAACAATAAATAATACAAATATCCTAAATAAGTTCATAAAATACAAGTCCAAGCAATCGTTAGATTGTCATCGACTTTTATTTGCTCTTGTCCTGTTAAAAAAAATAAAACCGGTTTGTAACAAACTGTATTGTAACATTCTTGTAGTAATGAATCTTTAAATTTCTTTTTGTTGAATTTTTCCGTCCGATGGCTGGATTATTATTACAATATATCAAAGACAAGTCTGTCCAATAAGAAGCACCATTTATTTTGCGTTTAAGACATACACAAATGGTGCTCCTTATTGGACAGACTTGTCTTTGATATATTGTAATAATAATCCAGCCATCGGACGGAAAAATTCAACAAAAAGAAATTTTAAATGTACCGTCGCCAGGGGGCAGCTTGAAAATCTACATATTCCAGCGCTTTTTTTTAGTAGATATAAAGCAGAACCACCCATTGGCCAGATGGATAAGAAGTAAGACGTCTGTGTCACCGATTCCTTTACGTTTTAATTGGATGTTTGTGTTTTTAAAGGACTTTTTTTACCTTTTGGCGGCATGTAGCCTACAAAGAAAGGCCTGTCGCCACTATTGTGTATGTCTTAAACGCAAAATAAATGGTGCTCCTTATTGGACAGACTTGTCTTTGATATATTGTAATATTTAAATTTCTTGTTATAAATGACATGTTAGAATTTATTTATTTATGTTAAAAATGTCTGTCTACTTGCACTTTCAAAGCCGGATGTATACAGGTAACCCCCGTATAACACGGTAGTTACGTTCCAAAAAATTGCCGTGTTATGCGAATCCATGTTATACGAAATAAAGAACTAATACGAAAAGGTGGGTTAGGTTCCAAAAATTAAAAAACATGCTAGTATATTTTCATAATTAAAATAAATATCTTCATTAAATTTTTTTAAGTGATACATATTAATATAAATTAAACAATGTTTTCTTCGTCATCACTAAAAACACTATTAATTAACCGAGAGCGTTTTCTTTTTGGCAAGTTATCCTTATCCTCTGAGCATTTTTCTGCATTATCTTCAGATCCATGCTTTACCTTTTGCAAAATGTATGTAATTTTAGATTGCTTGCTTCTAGTTAAAAGATCTTTATAAATTTCCTTATATGGTGCTAAGCACTTATGAAGAATAAAGCAAGTATGGAATAAGGGGAAAACATTCGGCAACATCAGAAGCAGAAGCGTCGAGATCTGGCAACATTGAAACAAGTTTCGAGAAGGACCATGTGTATCGACAGAAGGCGAGAAGAGAAAATTTACATACTTAAGTACTAATAGTTCACGAAAATAATTTTCGTCAACTATTATTACTTAAGTATGTAAAAATTTATTACATTTCCTGTTGTACGAGGGTTTTATCCAATTCTCGAACCGTGACAGAGTAAATCCGTGCTATAAAAGTACCGTGTTATACGGGGGTTACCTGTACTTACTTACAAATAAGCTAATCAAATAAGAGCTCTCTATGTTCTACATCCTAAATTATATAAATTACCATATTTGGTAAAAGATAAAGGACCGTTATTTATTATAGATTAGACTTATAATCATCAATTTATATAATTATCCCTTTCCCAATCGCGGAACTTCGCGACCGCACTTTGGTCAAGCGGCGTTTCACAGAATCCATTTTTTTTCCCTAAAATTGTAAAATTATTGGCTTCGCTTCAAAAATTATAATCACATCTTTGTTTTCGTAACTTTCTCTACTTTCGAACAGTGTAAAATATTTTTATATTGACACAAATGCTTTATTTGCATCGAATTTAATGTAATTTGATACGAAAAACGCAAAAAATAAACATATAAAATTTCAACTCGCTGTAATTTATCTCCTGTTTCACGGATTGCCATCGGGTTTGTTTGTAAATGGGAAAGAAATATTACACTTTCAAGTGAAGTGAGTAGAAATTTCGGACTACTGCGAGAAAATTTGTCATCAGACCCCACGTTACCCCCTACCACGTTACCGCGAAAGTCAATAAATGTTAATTGTTTTATTACTCTACTTCAAACGCTTATTTCTGAGTTGTAAATCGACTTGACAAAGTTTTTACTTTATTTTACTCAGAAAAATGTTTTTTTTTTTTTTTGTAAATATTTAACAGCTAGTTTTCTTAGATCTTTACATATTAACTTTATTTTCAATTTTTAATGTGATATAGTCGTATGTTAGGCTTAAATCGATCACCTAATATAAAAATGGACATCGCTCAAAATATTATAGAATCCATCAATTTCTTGCTGATAGTTTAGATATAAATGTTTTCTGTGCATGAAATGAATCATTCAAAAAAAATACAGGATGAACCATCAAAAATTCGGCAATTTACGACATGATGTCGAATGCGTAAATTCTTTTATTTATAACTAAAAATATTCTCGAAATTTAATTAAAAAAATGCATTTGCAACAATACCTAAATGAAATAGTTACGCAAGAAACAAAAATTGTACAATTAGCGCAATTTGTTTTAGCGTAATTAATTTTGAAAAATTTTTGTCGCTGTTATTTCTTGCCTGGACAAACGCGATTTCTCCCAGAGTATAAGACTTCGCTGAGTGTAATAATAAATTGCGATATCTCGCTTTAAAATCGGGCTAGAATTGCCCTTTTGCATTATTTTTGCCGTAAATGTCTCACAGTTTACGATTATTAAATGTAATATAAATTTTAAAAATACTTAAATTTTAAATTTTTTAGGAAAAGAGTAAAAATTTAAAAATCTGTAAACGTTCTGTTTAATTTGAAACATTTGTAAGCTAGACACATCTGTTTTCTTTTAAACAAAACAAACTGCAGCATTCTATCTAGAGTGGGGAGAAGTTATTGCCATAATTCTCACTACTTCTGAAATTACTTAGCTGGGAGAGGTGTCAATTGTTATAGTAAAGCGATGCCTCAAAGTTTATCAATATATATTTCTGCTTCAAATAGTAAATATTTGACACTTTTTATATATTTTTTCTACACTTTATGCAATAATACACTATAATAAGCGATCAGTTAATTTTTTTGCGATTAAGCAACATCCAGAAGTAATAAGTTTCCTGGTTAATTTTTTAGCTGGAAGCCTTTGTTAAAAAATCTTCTTATCTAAGTAAAGTCAAATAACATGCAAACTAATAAAAATACGCTCTAAAATATAGAATATAACAATTTTTTAACGTTTGTTTACA